AGCTGTTAGTTGCTGATAAGTGAAAAAGTATTGTATTTTTAAGCATATGCTTTTTCAAATTTAATCAAATAGCTTGTTAGCTATGGTTCACGCCATGAGGGTACTTTAGGTGGTCTTTATGTCTCAGAGTTTATTTGACATTGCTGCTCAAAATATCACAAAATATAGGTAAGAATACAAATATCTTGTAAGATGGCCACAATCTCCTCTAATTTCAGTAATTTGTTTAAAATAATATTTTTTCTTTAATATTGGGATCTTAGATACATTATGTGGGAAAGTCATGCTGTAACGACCATCCTTCCCCCAAGAGAGAAGAGGGGTCTAATTACGGAAAATATTGGGAACATCTGTGGGAGATATAAAGAAACACTGGATGATGAATATTTGCATTTTGTTTCATTTTAATTACATTCCATGAATTCATTACAATTTGGCAAATAAGGCAACCTGTTCACAGTTTGACATAGCCAGCCATGACTAACAGATTATAACGGAATAAGATGAGATCCTTTTCATATCAGCATGAAGTTGTTTTGAGTTGTGCCCTTCATCAGTGGCCTTTCCTGTTTTGCATGATTTCACTTTGCCTCTAGAGAACACATCTGTGTACACAAACACACTTTCTAGCATCTTTCACAAGCAGCCAGCCTCCCTTGTGGGTGACATCAAAGTCCTGAGAAGGGAATGACAGTTTGCCAGACTAGGACAACATGGATGTCCTGTTAATGAGGATAGCTCATTCATTAGCCAGTACTGGGGCTCCAAAACAAAAATAAATGACAACAGCATCCCATCCTCTTAAAGCAGATATGCACAAAATGTGACCCAGGGATGAATGAGGCCTGATTTTTTGGGAATTCTCCTTAAGGAGAATGAAGCTAACTGTATAGAACTTTTTACCTGGAAGTGGCAAAAAAAAAAAAAGGTTCTTTGACTCTTAAAACTCTTGAATTCCTCTTCTAAAATGGGCCTTGGCTCTGCCTACTTTAGGAGTGTGGCCTGTGACATGTCATACAAAATTTGGTTTGTTCCTTGATCTGAGAAACCCTGTCTTGAAGGCCATTTTTTTGCATTCCAAAGGAGATTGACAGCATGCTGCCCACCGAAAGATTCTTAGCATGTATTTTAATGGAGAAGCAACCAAGGTCTTGTGTTCTGGCTTCCTGAAGGGAATGATTCAGACGGACTGATGGTTTCACCAACTATGAAAAGATGCAGGGAAGTTCTCTTGCACGTTAACTGTTGAAACCAATATGGAAGCTTTAGATGGGATGACTTCTGAGTGATTTAAGCCCCATCAGTCAGATCTATTTGCCTTCCAGACACTTAATAACCTGCTGCCTAAAGATGGGCCATTTCATTTTATGCTGTGACAAAGTCATCTTGGTGTGAGCTGCAAACTCTGGTCTTCCATAAAGGCAGCTGGAGTTTCCCTTTCAGTCATTCTGAGATTGTGTGAAGCCCCCTTATGGAATGTGGACTGGTCCCTGGCATGAGTTTATATGCATGTTCACCTGTAGCTATGCACAACTTGCTTATATGTGCAGATATATAATACTACTATGCTTCCCTCTATACTACTATGTTATTATTATTTATTTTCTTAACATGCTGTGGCTTTTATCAGGGTTGCCAGCCTACTGCTTGCCAGATTTTTTGGACTGCAACCCCTAAAAGCCCCAAGCAACATGGATCCTCCAACCAACCCTGCTGTGGATTTGGAACCATTTAGTCCAAAACGACAGCAGGGTTTCAGATTACTTATCCAACTTTGAATTTCTATTGCTATAAATAAAAATATGATTCTTCCCACTCTATTATCCTTTCTCATTGTTGTCCTTTTCCCTCCTACAGTGACAATGAGGAGAAACCCTTCACCAGCAGCCAACCCTCCTTGAATGGTGACATCAAAGCTCTGGGGAGTGACGATAGTTTGGCAGATTATGGGGGCAGTGTGGACGTCCAGTTCAATGAGGATGGCTCCTTCATTGGCCAGTATAGCGGCCAAAAAGGCAAAGAAGGAGGTGGAAATGACAGCTCTGGGGCTACCAGTCCTACCAACGTGGTCACTGCCCTGGAATAAGTGGAGGCATTTTCCCAAAGGATTCCCCCCGCCCCCAGTCCTGGAGAAGAGGATTTCCCTATGGATTGCTGGGGGCAGGGGAGGTGAGCACAGGGTTAATCACCTCACCCAGGCAAAGAATCAAAGAATCAATGTTCTTCGAATGGAAATAGTAATTGGTGGAATCTACCCTTTGTTTACTGGCTAACCCCACCCCAAAAAAACTAATCAGGGAGGGTTAGAAAATCAGGGGATTCCTCAAATAATCCACCTAAAAAGTATCTCATTTCCACACCTTCCCCCCCAACCAGTTATCCTTCAGCCAAACTATGTCCATGTTTTGTGTGGTGGGAAGGGAAGGGGAAGGGAGGGAGAAGGGGAGGGGCATATGACATGATCCAAGGGATGAGCTTATTGGTGAAGCCCAGGGCTTTATAAGAGGGGAGGGAATCAAGGTTCAAAATTGCCAAAACAGCAGATGACCCCCACCCTTCTCAAGATCCTCAAATGTTCATTCTTTGTTCTTGTTCAAGAAGGGGATGTTAGATGGTGCTGCAATGTCTAATCCCAGCCCAGATCAGGACAGGAGACAAAACAGAAGGTGACCTGAAAGAATTGGGAACCAAAAAACAGGGAATCCTTTCTCTGCCTCTGAGAGAAAGGGTGGTTAGAAAGAACTAGAAGCCAGAAGTCTTGGCTATGCAAAAGGAAGGAATACCAATGGGCTGAAAGTCAGAAAGGGTCTGGGCCTTTCAATTTTGCCATTTACCACCTTCTCAAGGATTCAGCTAAGGATGGTCTCCTGATGCCTCTTTTAGAAGGGAAGGGGTGCTCCAGCCAAATCTTCTGATTGCCTCTCTGCTGATCTGTCACTCTTTCTTCCCTTTGTTGCTCGTTTTCTAAATCAGGCCTTGCCAAGGCAGCAGTTCTCTCAAAATTGTGGCTTTCAAACTTTTTACCTTGAGGAAAGCCTTTCCGTGTCTGCTCATCTACTAAGATATTTCCATTTTTCTGTCATGGAAGTTGAGACCTATTTTGGATTCATGAAAGCCATTGACCGGTTGGTCTATTGAACATCCTCTTCACTTCACCTAAATTGACTCTATACCTGCCATTAAAGTAGTCCTTGTTTACCATAGCCCTACAAGAGCCTCTGATCAATTGCCAAGAGATCTCAAGGTATCCTAGAAAGACAGTTTGAGAACTGCTGCCTGACCTGGTCTCCTGGTGCTGAATAGCCCAATTAGAAGGATCCCTTTGTCCTTTCTCTCATGTTAACTCCCATTCCCTCTTTCATTGGGTGATCAAAATCCAGTTCTTTCCAGATCCCACCATTTGACAACCTCCTCTTCCTCTTCCTTCTGTCTTAACTCCAACTCTCCTCTCAAACAGCAGAAAAGAAAAAAAAAAAAACCCAAGACCCTCCCTGCTTCTTGAATGCATCTCACGCAGCTGCCTTGCAACACACTCTTGTCTTTCAAAAGTGGCTTCTTGTTCACTGAATCAACCCTTACCCCATTTCCACCTCTGTCTATTGTAATGATGACTATTTTTTCTCTTGCTTGTCGGGGATGAAATGAATCCTTGCTTTTTTTGCATACAAAGTTTTTTAAAATAATAATAAAAAATAATAAAAGTACTCTGGTGTTTTGAGCAGCCCTACACAGAATCGTTCCTGCCTTTTCCCTCTCTGTAAATATTTCCAACCCTTGTGCTTGAGTTTGTTTTAGATGTCTTAGGACTGGTGTTTTTGAAGTCTTTTAGTGGGTCTATTAAGGTGGCTTGGAATTAAAAAGAGAAAAAAATGAAAAAAGTATTTTAAACAGTCCTCTTTCTCCTGAAACGTGATGCCATTTCCACCCACCCATCCTCCTTGCCCTGTGTATTCTTCTCTTTTGTCAGGCCTGTTGCAATCTAACTTTCTCTCTTGATAGCTTTTTATATATATATATATATATATATATGTATATATATAAACAGAATTATAAAATGATAAATAAATGATGAAATTGGAACTTGCTTGGACTGGTGATGGGGAAGTTATGGTTGGGAAAATTTATCTCATGTATGTTGTTATAGGACTCTTGCATGAAAGTTAGGAAACCTCTTTAAAAAATGAAATTTCCTTTTGCCAATTCAGCTGGGAATTTTTGTGATTGTACAATATAGAGCAGAAAACTAAATCAGGGTAGAACCATTGCAGGTTCAATCTCTGGCATCTCCAGTTAAAAAAAACAAAACACCAGAGAATATGATAAGAAAGTCTGTCTGAGACCAGAGAAAGTTGCTCCCAATCAAAATTGATAATACTAGGAAAAATGGAGTCTGATCAGATTTCAGGAAACTAACCTGGTTTTCTCTGGCTCTTGTTGGCAGTTATTATTATTTTTTTTTGGAGAAGTGGTGCCCTACTGATTCTATAGGGCATGGGTCTCCAACCTTGGCCACTTTAAGCCTGGTGAACTGCAGCTCCCAGACCAGAGGTGGGTTTCAGCAAGTTCTGACCAGTTCTGGAGAACCGGTAGCGGAAATTTTGAGTAGTTCGGAGAACCGATAGTAAAAATTCTGACTGGCCCCGCCCTCATTTATTCTCTGCCTCCCAAGTCCCATCTGATCGGGAGGAAATGGGGATTTTGCAGTAACTTTCCCCTGATTGGGGAGGGAATGGAGATTTTACAGTATCCTTCTCCTGGAATGGGGTGGGAATGGAGATTTTATAGTATCTTTCCCCTGCCACACCCAACAAGCTACGCCGGCCAAGCCATGCCATGCCATGCCACGCCCACCAAGCCATCCCCACATAACCGGTAGTAAAAAAATTTGAAACCCACCACTGTTGGAGATCCCTGCTATAGGGCTTTCTATGGTTTCTTTGCACGGAGGAGGAAGAGGAGGGAGGTGTCTTTGTATAACAATAGATATGAAGCATCTGTACCTTTCTCAGAAGGAAGAATTACCACATGTCTTCTTGCTGGGATTGATGCTCCATACATTTCTACCATTCCTTCTTCTATCTTGAGATCTCTTGAGCTAGACCAGACCTTTGAAAACATTGGGTTTTATGCTCTTTGGAGTAATAGTGAGCTGCAAAGAAAATCAGTAAGGCAAGGAGAAGATGAATCTAATGGTAGATATACCTTCATGCTTGTAATAAATCCCAGTGTGATACCCTAGTTATTGCTGCAAACAATGTACTAGGCTAAATATTGTTTCTTCCTTCTAGTTTAAAAAAATATGCATGTAAAAACCAAGAGCAGGTTGGTCTTACACCTCTTGCAGCATCTATTTAATCAATGTAATTTAATCAATATAATTGGCAGAGTAATCAAGTAAAGCTTTAATCACAGATTAAAGTTTGCCCTTGATTAACTAGTATTTCGGAGTCTGAAGGGCACGTTGATGTGTAGAGGCTAGACGTCACCATTTTCCATTCTTCTGCCAAGTTTGATTAATGTAGAACAAAAAAATGGCTTTTTACAATAGCTGAACTCAATAATGGAGGGATAATTTTGTCTTTCCACATATAATTGCTAGAAGAAGTAATATACAAGCAAGTCTGGTCACATTTGACTTAAATTAATATATATTTTATATTTCCCCAAATCTAGAAATTTCATAATTCTAATGAGATATGTACATGTTTGTTGGGAAAGTCTATTGTGGATCTGATATTTTAATCTAATGCTATATCCTCTGATTCCTAAATTTATAGCAAAGAAAATAACGATCTTTTTCTTCATGAACAATAGTTTCTCAAGTAAGGGTAGGAGAAGATGAACAAATATCATCATTTTATATTCAAAGCAACTAGTAGAAAAAGTGACACAAGGCTACTCTGAACATTTCTGGATGAGATATCCAAACAACCCATTTGGTCTGTTAGCATAACCATTTCCAGCTTTTCTAACTAAGGAAGTCTTTCATCACTAACTAATGTGCCATGATACCTCTGCATGTTACTCATTAATGTTACACCATGAGAAATTCCAGGCTTCATAAATAATTTAAAAACCATTACTAGAGTATTAAGATGAAACTGAGGAATAATGACTAATTAAATGACATTTTTTTGTGTGCAAAATTCTTTAGTGCAGACTTCGCTGTTTGTGCCACAGTTGCAGAATGCCTCTTGCAAGAAGAATGATAAAAAAACAAAACAAAACAGCACAATGTATGCCAAGGCTGTATTTAATTCACCTTTGTGTAAGGCAATTGCTAGTATTCCCAAGTTCTCTTTACATCAGTAAGCACTGGCTAATTCATCTGTGATAACTCACACATGCAGGCACTAGCCGCAAGAATAGCTTGACTGGATTTCTTTTTCCCTTTGCTCTGCATCATGCAATTGTAACAATCAGCCAAAACAAAACCAAACCCCTGGGTCAGACTAGTAAAGTTCTGGGGATGTAACAATAGAGCCAGGAAAAACATTACCTACATTAATGGAAAAAGGAATAAAAAGTGAACAACTGCTGCCAAAGATAAAGGTAATGTTATAGATTCAAAGGGCCCATCTGGTTACCTAGGTTACCATCTTAATACCTTCATTAGTTGCAACAGAAAACCACAGAGGTGAGCTAGATGGCATTCCATCTTGTTACGAGCCAAGCTTTCCCAAGGTGGATTCATCTATGTATTATAAATTGCAATTCCCATAATCTATACTCCCTCCTTATGCTGGCTGGGGCTAATGAGAATTGTAGAACAAAGGCAGTGGCAAAAACCCATGTTGAAACAAAGCAAGGAGTTGCAACCCAGTACTTAAGTTATTTGGATGTAAACCATTCTGAATAAGAAACCATAGATGGCTTCCTATCTGCCAGGCAGAAAGCTGGATGAAAAATGACTTCGCTTAAACCCCACCAGATCTTTCCTTCAACTAGATACAATGACTTGCTCACACTGTCTCTATACACAGCGGGGCTTGCTTCCAAATAAGTGTGCCAAAGTGGCTTCGGTTACCCTGAATGCCAGTGAAGTAATCTTATTTGTTGCTACAAAAGGAGATTTTACAGCCCTCAAAATGCAAGCAGAGATATCAAAAGACTGAAAAATGTATTAGCAACAACACTGGCAATGGTCTTGCAGAACTTAAACAGATATATGAAGTGACTGCCGGTGGGAGAGTTGGGTTTGTATGCAGCCTTCTGCATTGCTAACCCCTCTCCAAACAAATGATCAATATTATTACACAGTACTAATCATGAAATTTAAGTTTAATTAACAGGGGGCAGTCAACCTTCACTTATTAAGAATAATTAACGGCAGGTCATACTACAAAATTATGAATAGTTTTCAAATTTATAAAACGTTAATATATAGCCTCTAATGCACTTTACGCTGAGCTCAAAAAAAGACAGAAAGGCTAGTGGGCTGCAAGTTGCCTGCCAATTCCACCCTATCTGCCTACCCAGAGGTCTTTTGCAGTCTTATGAATTACCTTGCATGTAATAGGTAGCATACATGTTTCATCTTAAAATTCTGGAGTAAATCCCTTCCTTCTTGTGGCCACTTGTTTTATCAGTCTGAAATAAGGATATAACTCAAGTTTATGCTGCCCTAGCAACCAAGTCTATTACACTCCTTCTCATTGCGATATGCACATACTGCTAACCCTAACATTTGGTATGATGGTGCTTGGTAGAGCTTTGTTTTAGGGTTAGAATTCTCCTACAGTTTTAACTAAGTGACACAAAAGATGTTGAAACAAGAAACTGAATTAAATAGCTGTGGGTATTGCCTGTAGAGGGAGCTGGATATTGTGCTGTTGTTCTGTCCTTCAGTCTCCTGAAGGATTCTTTCCCACAGCCCAGTTAAAGTGCCTGTCACCAGTCCTTGAAAACTGTACTAATCTAAAATGTTCTGCCCCCAATGGAGATCTCTATCCTGTTGTACAGATCATGCTAAGGAAAGGGATTACTGGATTCCCCAGCTTTGCTTCCCTTCCCTCCTCTCCCCACTCCTCCCATCAAACATCATTAGGAAAATATCCAGCAATCACTGGGGAGAAAGTGAATTTCTACTGGAAGGTTTATCCATTGATCAAAACTCCTATTTTGTACAAGGGCACAGGTTCAAAGAAAGCCCAGCTAACAGCTAATATCAGTTCTTCTGGAGAGTAATGGTGGTGTTCTAGAACAGACGAAACCTCATGTTGGAAAAAAGCCTATTATCAATTGATATCCAGAAAAGCACTAAATCCATGATCTTTAGACCAAATAAAAGCTGTCACTTGTGTATGTGTGTGGTAGTGGTGATGGGGAGTGGAGAAGTTCCATGGAGGAGAAAATTGCCTCTCCCCACCCCCACCCCCAAAAAACAAATCATTACTACTCACCTGGGTTTAGGTGCATCCAAGTTTCTGAGCTGAAGAATGGCTCGGTGCTTGAGCAGGGGGAGACTCTGGTTGGAAAAAAACCCCTCGACTATCAGCTGCCCAAATCAGAATGACTAAGACAAGTCCCAGGATGCTTAAGGAAGGAAGTATCCCTGCACCAAGATGTTTCATAGTGCTGATCCTACCCTCTACCCAAAGCATCACCTTTCTGCCAAAGAATGACTGAGGAAGTGCATCAGATCAAACTGTATATTTTGGGATAATGGGGAAAACACATAACTAAAGATGACCTAAGGCTGCCTCGGGGATGGGCAGATGATGGGATAAAGCCACTTGAAGAAACATCAGAAACAAGAGATTATTGGAGCACGTTTGTGTCACTCTGGCATGTGAGGAAAGTGAGTACATTTCAACCTATTTTATTCAACATAAATTGGTACCCTCCTAAATCAGAGCTTTTAACAGGGTTGCAGACTGGCCCATCCCTCCACCGTGGCTCTCTCCACAAATATACAGTGCAATGATATGGAGACAGTCCACTGGAGAAAGGAAGGAAGCTGTTATACTTAGTGGTCCCACCAAGACTGAGAGGGCCCTGTTCATGATACCTTCCAGAGGAATCCCGCACCTGGAGCACTGCATGCATTCTAAAGCACTTCGTCCTTCCAGTCCCACATCTTGCTATGAGTTTTCTGGCATCATTTCTTTACATTTCACAGCTACATATATAGACTCCTATGTAAATATACATATGGGCATCTATAGGGCCTGGATATTTACAGGACTGCCTGCTGCCATTGACTGCCTCCCACCGACCGATATGCTCCCACAGAGAGGGCCTCCTCAGGGTGCCGTCGGCCAAACAATGTCGACTGGCGACTCCCAGGGGGAGAGCCTTCTCTGTGGGGGCTCCTGCCCTATGGAACGAATTGCCCCCGGATATACGAAGGATCCCCGACCTCCGTGCCTTCTGTCGTGCGCTGAAGACCCTGTTATTCCAGCAAGCCGGTCTGATGGAACAATAATTTTAATCGGGTTTTAAATATGGGTTTTTAACATGGTTTTATAAGGGTTGTAGAATGGGAATTATAAATTCGGCCAAAAATTGAATTATTTTAATATGGTTTTTAAATTTGTCTTGTATATTGTTTTATTATGGCTGTTCACTGCCCTGAATCCTTCGGGAGAAGGGCAGTATAAAAATATAATCAAATCAAATCAAATCAAATCAAATAGGAATGCTATCAGTGTTTTAAAAGGAAAGCAGAATCTCAAGCATCGTTAATAACAATTGCATTGAGATGGAAATGCTGCTGTTTCACTAGAAAAATACTAGGAGGTATGCCGTGTGAATCTAATTGGTGATTTCCCAAATCCTTCTTCAAGCTGTGATTATAAGACAAGAGACACAAAACCAAGCCTAAGAAGGTAGGTGGGCATACAGTCCAGCAGTGTTTTCTTGGTTCCCCTTCTCCCCTGCTATTTAAATGATGCATACAATTGCTTCAAACCCCACTGCTGTTGTGGGAATGTGTGTAGAGCAGGGGTGTCAAACTGGCGGCCCACAGGCCAGATGCATCACACACAGGCCACACCCACCCATGCGGCTCCACAAAGGCAAAAAACGTCGCGATACGTCACGTGATGCGATCAAGTTTTGACACCTGTGGTATAGAGTGTGAAGATGAAAAGTTAAGGAGTGGTCACACCCAGCAGGAGGGAATGGTATCATAATGATCAGTTACTCTTGTGCTGCATTGCCACATTACAGGTAGTCCTCGACTTTAGTGACAGTTCAAAGTTACAATGGCACTGAAAAGTGACATGACTATTTTTCGTACTTATGACCTTTGCAGCATCCCCATGATCACATGATTTACATTTGGATCAGTAGTGGGTTTCAATTTAGTTTGCTACCAGTTCGCATGTGTGTGCACAATGCTTCTGTGCATGCGCAGAAGAGTCCGGGCAGATGGGCGGAGCCTCCCATTGCTGCCGCTACCAGTTCGCCCGATCCAGGGCGAACCGGTAGCAACCCACCACTGATTTGGATGCTTGACAACTGACTCACACTTATGATGATTGTAGTGTCCCAGAGTCATGGGATCCCTTTTGCGACCTTCTGACAAGCAGTCAATGGGGAAGCCAGATTCACTTAACAACTGTGTTACTAATTTAAGAACTGCAGGGATTCACGTAGCAACTGTGGCAAGAAAAGCCATAAAATGGGGCAAATTAACTTAACAAATTTCTCATTTAGCAACATAAACTTTGGGCTCAATTGTGGTCGTATATTGAGGACTACCTGTATGCTAATAATGAAGAGTATGAATTTGTACAATCATATGTATGTTCATTCAGAAGGAAGCCCATAAGTATTTAATGGTTCTTACTCCACATTCAATATAGCTAAAGAGTGATTGTGAGAAAGGTAACCAGAGATGGGTTTGCTTAATACTATGTAGATGGAAGACTATGAAGATCTGTACACTACACTAGAAAAGGGGGGAAAATATCAGAAGAAGACAATGACAAATAGTTCATATCTCGTGGCTAAAGATGCATAGATAGCAATAGCAATAGCATTTAGACTTATATACCACTTCATAATGCTTTTACAGTCCTCTCTAAGCGATTTACAGAGTCAGCATATTGTCCCCAACAATCGGGTCTTCCTTTTACCAATCTTGGAAGGATGGAAGGCTGAGTCACCCTTGAGCTGGTGAGATTTGAACTGCCGAACTGCAACTAGCAGTCAGCTGAAGTAGCCTGCAGTTCTGCACTCTAACCACTGCGTCACCTCAACTTATATATAGATGTACCTACGGTATATATAAAGTTTATCAGGAATTAAGCTCAATTCAGAGGCTGCTCATCTTAAAAAGTATACAGCACTGTAATATTATTATGTGATTGGTGTTCTACATTAGGGTCAGTACATGCAGTATATGTTGTGGTAGATCCATAACTCAGCTTAAAAAAAAACCTTTTCACTCATTAGTATTTTAAAGCAATCCTGCCTTTAATGCTGAGTGGGTATGATTTTAATCTACATGTTTCCCCTTATAAAGTTTTCAGCATATCCAGTTAGTGTCCTGCCAAAAAAATTAGAGTACTGTAAATAATATTTGCTACAAGAGAACACAAGGGGGCATACAATTCCATCAAATGGACATATTCTGATTGATGTTTATGGATATAAATGTAGAATAATTGCTATAATTTATATAGAAATAGAAAAAAAATCTCATCTAAGTGAAACCTGACCAGATGATTAGTGGGTCCACTCAATTTGTTGTCCGAGAACGAACTGTCAATGGGCAACCTCAAAGCATGTCTTATGTACATGTGCTTTAAAATACCATTAAAATGAATTGAACCTAGACAACCCTTCAAGTAAAAGTTATTGTAGTTTATTATATTAAACATTTTAAAGAAGAATACAAACAAGGAACGATAAAAGACAAAAAAATAAATAAAAGGGTAAAGGACAAATAGTGAGATGAATAAGTAAAGGGATCTAAATATCATAGGAAATAGAATTTCCCAATATATCCTTAATTAGCTTAGCAACTATGAAATGTATTACACCACTTATTGAAAGGGAAAACTAAGAGTCACTCTTAAGCTTCGTGTTAAGAATATGTGGTTAACACAATATAAATCACCAACTAAAATTATAAGCTATAATCAATTAGTAGTAGACATCCAATTTCTCATGAATTTGAAATATAAAGTCCATATGTAGAAAATCCCAAATTTGGGGTTTGGTACATAGCTGCATATTAAATTATAATCCAAGCATAGTTTCCAAGTATAGGATATTTAACCTTCCCTTACCTGTGTCATGCCTTCAATTTTGCATTTTTTAAGGGTAGATTGAAGGAGGGATCAATAAAGATGTAAAATCTGGACTTTCCCAGAACAAAAATTAAGCACCCTTTCCTCCCGACACAGTGATCCATTCTCACATTTGCTTTAAAATTAAATCAATGGCTTTTTGATACCAAGTCCATTTGATCCTTAGTGACTATTGCTTATTTCTGTGTGATGCAGATTAAAAGATGAGCGGAGCAATTCTCAATTGTAGAAGAAGCCAATGGCAAAAAAGAAGAAAAAAAATCCTTAGCTCTGCTTTGGCTGATTTTGCATCTTTCCACCGTACTGTTATTGCCTTAGAGGAAAATGAA